GAAGATTGTGTCTGTTATTGTCTCAGCGAGTTTTGTTTCTGTGACTGCTATGATGTCTGGGGATTTTTCACTGATTCTTTCGTTCCACTCCTCATGTTTATTCGTTATTCCATCCGCGTTTGTGTACCAAACTTTCAGTTTCTTTTCTTATCATTGTGGTCATGCAAGAATATTGGGGTTGGGGGGGGAGCGAGAGCCTTGGTAGGGGTCTATATGGGCTGTGGTGTAGGTGGGGTTTGTGATGATGGGGGTGGGGTCAGAATGCCCATAAGGGACAGCTGTTTGGGGTGAGGTTTGTGATATGGGGGTTGGTGGCAGAGGGAACAGTGAGTGGGTTGTAGTATAGGTTGCTCAGTTGCGTGTGTGAGTGTGTGAGTGTGTGTGAGTGCGTGAGTGTGTGTGTGAATGTGAGTGTGTGAGTGTGAGTGTGAGTGTGAGTATGAGTGTGAGTGTGAGTGTGAGTGTGAGTGTGAGTGTGAGTGTGAGTGTGAGTATGAGTGTGAGTGTGAGTGTGAGTGTGAGTGTGAGTGTGAGTGTGAGTGTGAGTATGAGTGTGAGTGTGAGTGTGAGTGTGAAGAGCACATTATTTCATTTTATATTTAAAAAATTAATCATGTATAGTAAGAGATACAAAAAGATTTAGCATTTTAGCAAAAAATCTTGTTTTGTTGTGTGTGTACTCACCTAATTGTAGTTGCAGGGGTCGAGACTCGGATCCTGGCCTCGTCTCTTCACTGATCGCCACTGGGTCCTCCCTCTCCCTGCTCCATGACCTTTATCATACCTCGTCTTAAAACTATGTATGGTTCCTGCCTCCACTACATCGCTTGCCAGACTAATCCACTTCCTAACAACTCTGTAGCTGAAGAAATATTTCCTAACATCCCTTTGTCTCATCTGAGTCTTCGGCTTCCAATTGTGACCCCTTGTTTCTGTGTCCCCTCTCTGGAACATCCTGTCCCTGTCCATCTTGTCTATTCCACGCAGTATTTTGTACGTCGCTATCATGTCTCCCTAGACACTCCTGTCCTCCAGTGTTGTCAGACCGATTTCCCTTAACCTTTCTTCATAGGACATTCCCCTTAGCTCTGGAACTA